CTTTTTGCATGTATTTCAGAGAAAGAATTTTCCACAGCTTCATCTACTTTTGGGTCCCTTCATTTCTGAGATCCCACAGAGTAACTGGTCTTTATTTTGCAAGAAAATGTGGAATTAAGGCCATTTGGCAGTGACAAATATTTGCTTGACAGATATTTTTGTCCCACTACTTTGTTTCCTTACCTTCTACTTCCACTGTAACATTTTGTATCAATGTCAAGTCAGAGTGTAATCTTTTAAAATGTATTTTGAAGGGCAATTAAACTCAACAAATACAATGCCAACGATGCACACAACTCAACTGAAGTGATGATAATACGACTAGTGAGAACCAAGTCCATGCCCATGCAGTCAATGGCAATGACGCCTTGAATGCTGCCTGGTTGACAGCGTCAAATGCCACTGATTGTAATGTGCATCTCAATTTCAGAGATGTTAAAATGTAAAAATATATATGTGATATTCATTGAGTTTCTCCTGGGTATCCAGTGGTGTGCCAGGGGCTGTCTGATGGATATATTTGAAAGTTTAAAACGGAGTGTTTGTCCTCCAAGGATTTAGCAGGAAGAGTTGCCCAAATAACATATATAACCAAGGTAAAAGGCACAGAATACACTGTAAAATAAGCTGCACAATGAGTAAGGGGTATAGAAATGATAGGGGATGTCATACTTGGAAAGGACATGAATGGCAGAGCCATTCATACTGACTTTTGTCTTTGTTACCTCTTCGTATCTTTTTCCCACTTCCTATTTTTGTATTTTTTCTTATTAATATATAAAAACATTTAATATTTCAAGATGTTAATACTTAGTGCATTATATGTTTTTGAAATACCTTGTTCTGGTTTGTGGTATGTTTTAAAATGTTGTTTAGAAGTCTTTGATCATACAGAAGCTTGCAACTATTTGGTAGTAAAGTTTATCAGTATTTTCCTCTATGATGCATAATTTTTGTCATATTTTAAAACTATTTTAATTCTGGATATTATCCCATACCTTCTATTTTTTAACTCTGGCTTTCACATTTAGTTTATTTATCTATATAATTTATTTGTCACTGTACAGTGCAAGATAAAAATTTAATTTTTCCACATAAATGACCAATTATCCCAGGATTGTTTACCAAAAAGTAAATTTTTCCTCACAACACTCCTAATTTGTAGATACAGTCAACTTTTGTACATAAAACTTTGATTTCCTGAAAAATTCTCCCTTAAGTACATTAAATAATAATCAGATCATATTATGTAAGGACTTAAATAGGAGTGGTATATTCACTAATATGTACTTTCTTTGCCTTTGATGTTAGAGATAGATTCTGATTAAAACTGTGGACCTGGTTCTAAAAGGAAAAAGTGCACAAACACATCAAAAATGTTGCACGACATTTCAAGTGTTCACAGACCACTTGAAGCCTATCCATGAGCCCCTCCTCAATTTAGAGTGGGGAAAATGGGGAAGTATTGCCCCAAAACTCAAAAGTATTGTATGATAGAGCCAGAGGAAGAATCTTGGAAGCCTATGTCTCTTCTCTATGTCATTCCATACATATATTTACAGTATGCTATTAGAGTAGATTCAAGAAAAATCACAAATCTGTGGTCATGTGCTCAAAAGAATCAAAGAACTGATGCCAAAAACATCCAAAATAGTAGCATGAGTTTCATTCTTGATCTGAATCTAGCAGTTAGTTATAGATGACTAATGGAACTCTGTACTTGTAAAGAACAAACTGAATTTGAGAAAAGAAATTAACTTTGATTATTAGGTTCTGTTCCCCATTTAGTCAGAAAGCCTCTCCTACCAGGTTATTTCTAGGTTGATTTATAGCTCTGGCACCCTATAAATAATCATTGGAAGACCTAATTTGTTTATTATATGCAAATTACCTAGGTGAGCTTATTAAAGATAAGGTTGGACTGGTATCAAATATAATTTGGGACAAGCCAAGAAGGATTAGAGTGTTTTGTGATTGATTGAGCCAGGAAGTTGAAAGTCAGCAACAAGACAGATTGATGTGTTCAGCAAGACTTTTTAAATCAAGAGCTATCACACACAATAATAGAAAATTCAGTTAATAAGCCAACCAAGAAAAGAATAATCTGACTTTGGAGGGATAACATGATAGGAACTTAGTCCAGGAGATTAAAGAAATTTGGGATTAAAGGTATTTTTTTCTATGAAGATAGTAAAAATTAAAGGCTATGGAAATGAACCCACTTGGTTAGAATTCAAAGGTCAATGGTTGCTGGTGATACTGATTCAGATACTTCTTCAGCCTCAACACTCTGTGATCTGAAGGTGGGAGAGGAATCAAAGCACTCAGCTCTTGGCTGAGCCCCAGGCGCTGCATCCATGAAGCTCCAGCTCCCATCCAAGTTGGATTGACACAAGACTGTATCCTGAGAAGGCTCTTGGCCTCTGTGACCTCTGAAGTGATTCCCTGAGTCACTGAAAGAATGATGCTACATCTCAATGGTTTTGTGGACTTGACAACCTTGGTCCTCTGAACCATTCTTTAGGCTTGCTCTTGGGCAAGCAACCTCTGTATCTCTTATAAGCCTGAGAGGCTTTTCCTCACATGATAATAAATTGCATTACATTTTTTTGTGTGTGGTTCTTTTCTTGTTTTAATTTGTTTTTCATTCATTCCCAGCATCCTACCCAACCAGAGAGTGAATTTAGTCCTCGTTTCTTTCCCTTTCACAGTATTCTTTCTCCTCTAACCTTACCCCCCCTTTCACTTTTCTCCAGCCTTTTCAGAAATTCTTCCCTCTACCTACTTTCACTGCTGCTACTCAACAATCTTCTTCCTCCACAGGCTCACTGGAAAATTCTACTTAAGCCTTTTTGTTTTTCTACTTGAAGCCTTGGTTAGCCATTAGTAGTAAAAGCAGTACTACTAGTGGCAGTAGTTGATGCGGTAGTAGTGATAAATAGTAGTCGTGTTTGTTATTTTTGTAGAAGTGCAGCAATACTTTTATGTTTTTAAGACACATTGTCACTTTGATAGCCCCAAAAGTTACTCTCACAAACCTTTGGAAGGCAACATTTATAGAGAATAAACTAAGTCACAGGGACCACACAGAAATATGAACTGAGACCTCCAAGCTGAAAGACCTTCCAAGATCTAATTGAAAAGCCAGTGGACTATAAGGCAAATAAGTGCACAAACTTCAGGGCTGTGAAATTTTAGAGAAAATAGAGACATTGCTCTTAGGTAGTCAGAGGAGGTATCTAGGAGGTGGTGGAGCTCAGCTAGACATTGGAGATGGAATTGAGCATTCCTGATAAGGAGGATACAGTGAGGAAAGGCATGGGTATGGAGAAAAGGGCCAGAAAAATGAAGAAGAAAGATAAAACAAAGATCTAGTCCCATCATTAGGAAATTATAAAATGCATGAGGCCAGGCTTGGTGGCTCAGTCTGTAATCTCGCGCTTCGGGAGGCTGAGGTGAGTGAATTGCCTGAGCCCGTGGGTTCGAGACCCGCCTGGGCAACTTGGAGAGACCTCATCTCTACAATAAATCAAAAAAAATTAGCCGGGCGTGGTAGCGTGCGCCTGTAGTTCCAGCTCCTTGGAAGGCTGAGGAGGAAGGATTGCCAGAGCCCAGCAGGCCGAGGCTGTGGTGGCGAGGAGCGGCCACTGCACTCTAGTCTGGGCGACTGAGTGAGACTCCAACTCAAAAAAATAAATAAATAAAAAATAAATAAAATGCGTGATATGAAAACGAGTTATTTTCTAATGAAGTCAAAATATCATATTAATTGTACATATATGTGTATATAAAATATATGTGTGTATATATATAATTATACCAACTACTCAGTTATGTAGGAAATGCTATTTGAGATTCAGGATCATTTTTTAACTCAGGGACTCAAGTATTTCTTTATTTCTGGAAAAAATTACACAACCCACTGTAACTGCTTTATGTTATATTTCTAGAATCTCATTAGAGCTTTTAACTTATCTTTTTGACTTTAGTTATTTATGCTATATCTTAAGTGATAGCTCAGGACTTACTTCAAATTTACTAATTCTTTATGTGACTGTGTATGTATAAGATGTATATAGTCTAACATTTAGTTCGTCCTTTAAGACTTTTTAAAATTTCAATTACTTTATTTTTCATTTCTGGAATTTGTATTCCGTTTTTTGTTCAACTATTCCCTTTTCATGATATTCCATTATTACTTTACATACTTTAATCCTTTCCTTATATTTTTGAATATCTTAAACATATTAATTTTAAAGTTTCTTTCTTCTTTCTCTATCGCTTATTGTTTTTTCATTCAATGACTGAACTGCAAATCATATACTAGATTTCCTCATGTGCTTTGTAATTCTCATCCATTAGTTTATCTTCAGTAGGGTGGTGTCTTATGTGCCCAGAGTTATGCTGGCAGACTTGTGAGATAGTTTTATTTTTGTTTTTTCTAGACGTCTGAAGATTTATCACTACTAGGCCAGTTTTCATGTTTGTTTCTTAGCTCGAGGGGTTTCAAAATACACAGTTAGGCTAAGAATTAGGCTCCTATATTCCTAAACTATCAATGTATGCTTGAGATTTGAAGTTTTATAATAGACTCTGCAGCTACTCACAGCCTAGGATAGGTGGTCAAATTTCAGGCAATGCCCTCAGGTCAGTGGGTAGAGTTCTTCTGATGGGATCACCTTTTCCTTCTTTCATTCTTAATTCTATGCCTGCATAGTTCTTATTTTCAGTTGCCATATTACCTTAAAGCAGCAACAACCATTTATTATGTCTCATGAAACTGTGGGTTGACTAGACTTAGCTGGGTGGTTCTTCTGTTCCAGATGGTGTGAGCTGGGGCTAAAGTCATCTGGAGACATGATGACTTAATATCTTATACTTTGAGTAGTATCATCTCAAGGTCTGGGCTGAACTGTGTGATTCATTGGCTTGATATATTAGTAAGGGCTGCAGTTATCTGGGGAGTTAACTGGGTTGGAACATCCAGAAGGCTCACTTACTTGACTGAAATCAGTGAAGGCTATCAACTGAGAGCATAGTTGGTTCTGTGTATCAGAGTGTCTCCGTTTTTCTCTTTGTGGTCTTGCCATGTGACTTGGATTTCTCACAGCATGGCAACCAGGTTTCCAGTGAAGATATCCTCAGTGGCAGAGGTGGAAGCTGCAGATCCTTTAAAGACCAGACCTAGAAAAAAACAATGTAGAACCGTTGCTACACTCTACTGGTTAAAACAGGCCACAAAACTAGCACAGATAAGGAAGAAAAATTCTACCTCTCTAGAGCAAGAGTTGAAAATAATTTGTGGTCATCTTTAAACTACCTCAGTTGTTATGATAAAGTCTCCCAAAATAGCTTCTTAAGAAAGGCAAGTTTTTCACTCTTAGAATGATAGATACAATTATTTGCTATTCAGGACTGATTACAGCTTCATAATGTCATCAGCAGTTCCTAATTATGTAGGATGGTTGCAAAAACTCCAGTCATTACAACCAAGTTGCCGGCAGAAATAAATGGATGGAGCAGACAAGCAAAAGTGAACTAACAACGAAGTCAACACTTTGAAGAGCTTTTCTTGAAGCTTCTCATGACTGTTGCTTATCTTACTGACTTCCCCACATACAAGAGAAACCAGAATAGTAACATCAAAAAAAAATATACCTTCATATCTGAGATATTTTAACTTTCCCTTGTTTAACAGAAGGTGAATATATGCTAAATGCCTTAGTGAACTCCAAACCGCCCTTTCTTTTCAACCACCACCCTCTTGTTATCACTTGGCAAGGCTTCTGATGGTGACTCTGTGAGAGTGTTTGTGGCAGGCTGACATTGATGTTGTATTAAGACAGATGCATGCAGCATCATGATAACAAGGGACACGCTTTAACCTGCAGGCTGCTGACATGATGGTTGCAGGGTATTCTATTAAGAGAAGGATTTCAGTGCTCCTTATTAACAAAGGTATTTTTGTAAGCCTAATTACACCCTCGCCAAATAACAGAGTTGACTTTTATGTCATTTCCTCTGTTTAAACTGGAGATGTTCTTTATAAGGCAGTTTGAGGAGTCTGCCGAGTTTGTACTCTGGGTCCCTGCTGCACACTTTCACAACTTTCATAAGATTTCTTCTCTTCAGGTCTGTCCTCCAGCCTCACCACCTTATCCTTCAGTGGCTACCAATAATTAAGAATCCCTCTGAAGGGAGAAACGCATTCACATGTAAGTAGTACTCACTGATAACAGCTTTATCTTCCAGCCCTCTTATAGGAATGTGCTCTTTAGAAGAGACACAGGTCAAAGCCATGCTTGACTTTCCCCAAAGTGACCCTTTCATAGTGATATTACAGGCACCACACATCACCTATGAAGCAGAGGTCTCCCTAAGGGCCCTTCTCACAGACCACAGGTAGACAAAGTCTCTTCTGCTGCCTTTATGCGAGTCTAGTTCCAGGCTGCAGAACACCGGGAACGTGTGGCATGTTCAGAGAGGGTACTCCACTTCTGCTCATTCTGTAGTTTTTCTCTACAGGAGTCAGCAAACTACAGCTTGGGACCAGGTTGTTCTTGTAAATAGTTTTACTAGAACACAGCAATGCTCATTTTTAAAATGTATTGTCTATGGCTTCCTTCATGCTGCAATGGCAGAGGTGACTGCAGTTGCAACAGAGACTAAGTGGCCTGTAAATTCTAAACTGTTTACTCTTTACAGATTGCTGCTTGGGGGTGTCCAAGGCAGAACTGGTTTCCTCTAAGGATATAGCTCTCAAGGAGGACAATTTTGCCTCCCAAGGAATATTGAGCAACATCAGGAGACATTTTCAATTACCATGGTTGGGGAAGGTGTTGCCATTGGCATCTAGTGGATAGTGGTCAGAGATGCTGCCAAACAATGATACCCAGCCAGACTCCCACAATGAAAAATTATCCAGTGTAAAACGCGAATAGTGCCACAATTGAAAAACCCTAGCCGGGCTTGGTGGTTCAGCCTGTAATCCCAGTGCTTTGGGAGGCTGAGGTGAGTGGATTGCCTGAGCCCAAGGGTTCGAGACCCACCTGGGCAACTTGGCGAGACCTCATCTCTACCATAAATCAAAAATTAGCCCGGTGTGGTAGCGCGAGCCTGTAGTTCCCTACTTGGAAGGCTGAGGCGGAAGGATCGCCGGAGCCCAGCAGGTCGAGGCTGCAGTGACTGGGAGCGGCCACTGCACTACAGTCTGGGTGACAGAGTGAGACTCCAACTCAAAAAAAAAAGAAAAAAAAGAAAAAAACCTGTTATAAGGAAATGGGTGTTTTATTAGTCTATCATTGTTTTCATTCATTTATGTAATAAATATTGATTAAACCTATATTATGCATCAGGCATGGTTCTGAGATTAGATGGAGAGATAGATATAGATAATGGATAGATATAAAGAAAATGCCATTTAACCCACACAACAGATTACAGCTAGTGCTATTATCATCTTCATTTTACAGGTGAGAAATCTGAGCCCCAGAAAAGGTTAATTTACTTAAAATCATCTAATCAGTAGTGAAATGGAATTTTAATCTAGTGCTTGCCAAGTACTCTATACTTTAATAAACAAGGATTTTAATGAAGGTAAGGGTAGTATTCTAAAGCCAGACATATCTGCATTCAGGTGCTGGTTTGTATGCTTGTGAAATGGAGACAATGACACCTACTCTGAAGGAGGGAGGAGTGAATGAGACCGTGTGCTGAGAGTACTCTGTGACAGCGCCTGTAATAATGGGTGCAACAAAAATGCTAGTTTCAATTATTTTATTCTCAGCCCTTAATATGAACGTTATTGGACATCTAGAAACCAATTTATCCCGTCAGCCACATTCTAGGAATCTGAATAGGAGGGAATAAAAGTACCATGGTCTGTACTGAAACATGAGCTGATTTTCTCAACTATTTCAGTCATACAGAGAAGGTGGCACATCCCCAGATGGCAGAGCCCGTTCTTTAAAGTAGGCTCTGGAGAAAGAGCCGTTCCCACTTCTGTCCAGAGCAGCATTTCCCTGCAGAGATGCTGGGTCTGGGAGGAACCCCAGGAGTGACAGTCTGTCAGCCAGGCCTAATCGCTGTGCCCGTACAGCCCCGCTCCAAACACTCCTGCCGAGCGCTTGCAACTGTCAAGAAGCTTTCTCCTGACAGGAGAACACAATTTCACATTTTCAGAGTTAAGGCATAAACGCACAAGGCAGCTGGAGATGGGGAGCCAGCTGCACTCAGAGCAGACTTCACAGCCCATCAGCAGACAGGACTCTCCCCGTCTCTAACCAGCGGGTTTTGTCTTTTTTTATTTCTCCTTTTGCCCCAAGGCTTGACACTTTATAAAGTTAAGTCTATTGCCTTGGCCATATTATTTCCAGGAAAACAGAACAGTTTTGGCTCTGGGGTAATTAGAGCATCACAACATCACAAACTGAGCCTCCAGCCTGGGAAGGAAGAACTCATCGGGCTCTTTTCCTCAGTTTAACTCTGGCATCATTCTCAAGTCTTCCCCCTCCTCTACTGGTATCTTCTTTGCTCACCCACCTTATAATCCTCCTCCCTCCTGGCTCATTTGCTGAAAGTTCAGTTGGACATCAATATCATTGGCAGACAAAAACAGAGATGAAGAAGTTAGTCTCTAACCTTGGAAGATCCAGGTCTACAAGAAGGATTCAGACCATGGGTAGAACATACAATACTCTTTTTTATGCAAGTGGATATTAAAGGAAGATTATTCTAGTCATCCTGGGTTCTGCTGTTTTCTCACTATTGCTGAAGCAAAGATATAAAGCCCTCCTCACTGCAAAGAGAAAAGCCAGATTATCTTTGAAGAACTTGCTGAAGGTATTTCCCAAAATGTTCATCAACTCCTACCTCATAATCTATCTCAAAAGGATCTAAGGGAGATACAGAATTGATGAGGGAAAACTGAATGGCAGGTTTCTTTTTTGAAATGAGTGATACTAATAAACTGTATATGCAACAACTCTGCCAAAAACGTCTTTCTTATCCTCCATTTCCAAACAGACAGAGAGACTTGTAGTGGCAGGGTCTACCCCAACAGGGACCAGAGAGCATTCTAGGCAGAAAATATACCTGGGCCATGACAAGACCTTAAAAGTGGATGTGACAATTGCAAGTAAAACTGTCTTATTTTGGCATTTGAAAAGAGGTAATATCTACCTTCACCTAATAACCCCAATGCAAAGCCTGCTGTGGTCCTGCCACCCACAAACCAAAGCTTCCAAGTAACTATCCCACTTGGAGGTGGACAAGGTATCTCAAGGAAACAGATCTACATGACAGCAGAGAAACCCACATCAACCATTTGTACTACACATCTTTGTACTTAACCCACAGAAACAAACAGACAACCAAGGATAAGCAAAGTTAGAGGAAATCAGCAGTTCAGGAAAAGGTCTGAGTCCATTTTGTGTTGCTCTAAAGGAATGTCTAAGGCTGAGTAATTTACAAAGGGGTTTATCTGACTCTCAGTTCTGATGGCTGAAAAGTTCAAGATTGGGCATCTGCAGCTGGTGAGGACCTCAGACTGCTTCCACTCAAGGCAGAAAACAAGGGGGAGCTAGTGTGTTCAGAGATTACAGGGTGAGAGAGGAAGCAAGAGAGGTATGGGGAGATGCCAGGCTGTTTTTAACAACCATATCTCATGGGAACCAAGAATAAGATTTCACTCTCTCACCCTCAAGGAAGAGCATCAGTCTATTCATGAGGCATCTGCCTCCATGACTCAAATATTCCCCATTAGGCCCCACATCCAACAATGGGAATCAGATTTTAACATGAGGTTTGGAGGGGCCAAACATCCAAACCAGAGCAAGGCAGGTCCAGAGGATATCTGACTTCAAAGTAAGGTAGATTTTAGGATTAATAATGAAAATATAATCAAAAAAATGTAAGACAAAGCAAGAATAAGCTATTACCAAAACAGAAAAATGAAACAATTTTTAAAATAATTATTAGAAATCAAAACTAAGATAGTCTATATAAAAACAAATCTGAAGTGTTAGAAAATGTATTAGGAAAATCTTCTAAAATGTACAGCAAAAAAACAAAAAGAAAAGAAATAGAAATACGAGATTTGAAAAAAAATAAGTAAGAAACATAGAGGAACAATATAGGAGATCAACATCTACCTAATAGTAGGTCAGGTTAAAAGGTGAAGAAAACATGGAGGGAAAAACATAGTCAATGAAAGAATAGAAGAAAAATTTCCAAAGCTCAGAAAAGATAATGAGCCAAGATAGATTAATAGAGCTTAACCAAAGTCTAGTAGGATTACCATTTTAAGGGCCTTAACTGAATCCTTATAAATTTAAGAATACTAATGATAAAAGAAATATCCTAGAAGCTGTCAGAGAAAAACAAAAAGCAGGTCACCAACTAAAAAAATTGTTAAACCAATTGGCAAGAGGCTGCTCGGCAACAACACTAGATGCCTGAAAACAATGGTGCAATGCCTTCAATATGCTGAAGGAAAATGATAGTGAAATCATTTAGAATTTTATACCTAGAAAAACTATCAACAACAAGTGAAGGTAGATAACTCTATAATATACACACAGGAATATAACGTACATACAGGGCCAAAAAGTTAACCTCCTACACACTCTTTATTTAAAACATTACTAGAAGATGTAGTATTTATTTATTTCCATAAATAGAAAAATAATCTAGGAAATAAGACATTATTGACACTAAGAAACAAAGAGACTACTAAAGTGTGCAATGAAGAAAAATATCAGCTTGATTTATATTCAAATCACCAGTTGCAGGGTTGCAAAGAAAATTTCTTCAAAGCAAATACATTTTATGCAACAACTATTATGACCTAAGGAGAAGCTGAAAGATCTAAGTGACAAGCTGAAAATGATATGGCTTCTTTTCTTAAAAAGAAAAATGCAATTATAAGCTCCATTGAGAATGAAAAAAACACAAGAAAGTCATGAATCAAAAGCAAAGCACACTAAAATGTGCACTAATTAAGTACCTTATAGCATATTAAGAAAAAGAGGGCTTTGCAGACGCCGCCACCTTGAACCTTTTCCCATCAGCCATGGTCAACCCCACCGTGTTCTTCGACATCACCGCCGACAGCAAGCCCTTGGGCTGCATCTCCTTCGAGCTGTTTGCAGACAAAGTTCCAAAGACAGCAAAAAATCTTCATGCTCTGAGCACTGGAGAGAAAGGATTCGGTTATAAGGGTTCCTGCTTTCACAGATTTATTCCAGGGTTTATGTGTCAGGGTGGTGACTCTACACGCCATAATGGCACTTACTTATTTTTTTTCAAATCTCATATTTCTATTTCTTTTCTTTTTGTTTTTTTTGCTGTACATTTTAGAAGATTTTCCTAATACATTTTCTAACACTTCAGATTTGTTTTTATATAGACTATCTTAGTTTTGATTTCTAATAATGGCAAGTCCATCTATGGGGAGAAATTTGATGATGAGAACTTCATCTTGAAGCATACAGGTCCCAGCATCTTGTCCATGGCAAATGCTGGACCCAACACAAACAGTTCCCAGTTTTTCATCTGCACTACTAAGACCAAATGGTTGGATGACACGCATATGGTTTTTGGCAAGGTGAAAGAGGGCATGAATGTTGTGCAAGCCTTGGAGGGCTTTGGGTCCATGAATGGCAAGACCAACAAGAAGATCACCATTGCTGACTGTGGACAACTCTAATAAATTTGACGTGTTTTATCTTAAACTACCAGATCATTCCTTCTGTAGCTCAGGAGAGTACCCCCTCCATCCCATTTGCTCGTAGTGTCCCTATAATCTTTGTGCTCTCGTTACAATTCTTTGAGTTCCATATTTTCCTTATTCCCCTCCACGTGTCATTGGATTGCAGAGAAATAAAAACTAAATAACAAAAAAAGAAAAAAAAAAGAAAAAGAGACTGCAATTGACATTAGCAGCGGAATGTTTTCTTACAAGCAGCAACAAGTTTAACACCATAAAATTATATTTATTTTGTCCATGGATCTAATCACACTATTTAGTTTTGTTAAAAACAATATTTACATAAGATAATACTGTAACTTTTATTAATTAATGTGTAATATTTTGAATAACCCATGAACAAAGTACTTATATCATTATATTACATACATAATATCAATGTCAAAACCTTACGATATATATTTTTTAAAAGCTGATGGACAATGGAAAGTGGAGCAGTGAGAAAAAGATGGAAAGTAATACGGAGGTTTTTGTTTATTTCTAAATAATGATAAATTAAGAGATAATCTCCAAAGCAGAACCAAAAGTAGAGGTTTCTGAATATTATTTAGTTATAGAAGATTTCAATAAAACAAAACACAATAATTTGGCCAATAGTTCGGGAGACATAGAAAGGAAGCTGAAGTTACTATGTACAGCTGTGTTAAATTCTTCATCTTCCAAATGAGAGTATCTATAAATCAAGAGACTCCTGGCCTGTTAGTTAGAATTAGAGATAACCAATGGAAAAATTTTTTTAAAAACTCATAAGAAATGAGAGTGGGGATAGGAGGACCATTTTAAAAAATCATTGTATCTTGTACTATTTTAATTATCCTTATTACCACATGTATTATTTTTATAGTTTATAAAATATAGAATGACAACAAAAGCAAGCATACTTCCCAAGAAGCAAATTTGGAGGCATTACAGGTTCATGCAATGGTCAGGTTGCCTTGCATAGTTTTTAACCACATACCCAAAGTTCAATAAATACTTAACTAAAATTGTGATGTAATGTGGTGACAAAATAAACTAAAATTCTCCTGGGCTAAGACCTGGACTTGAAGTAGGTACAATGGCATAGCAAGAAACACTACCAGGATTTACAAAGTTATACAATAGGCTTTGTATTCATTCTGTAAATGGGTTATGAAACACTGGCAAACATGACATTATGAATGACAAGGTGAGACTCAGATGATGTAGGTACATAACATACATCACACTAAACAATATTCTTTGTTGCTACCAACATCAGGCATCACAGCCCTGGTCATCTTTAGTCATTCTCTTCTACTGATCAGCTAACATCCAGATTTATAGTCTAACAGTATTCAATCTTTCTAAACAAATTCCTACTATTCACATTACCACTGGAGATAAAACGAAACCAAAGCAGCCACCTCCAGAACCTTGGGCAATAAAAAGACACAAGTGAAACCATTTTTTCAGTATTCTCCAGAGCCCAGATTGTGGTTTTTAAGTACCACTTCTCACTAAGAGGAAGAGCCTCCTGCAGAAATAAATTCCAGGCCCAGGGCCAGTCATGGAAAAATATGAGCCAAGCACATCTTGTCATATCACATTTCTTTTTTTCTTACATGTGAAATCTTGGTTTCTGATAATATTGGCATAACTTATTTGCTTTACCCTATATGAACACTAAGTAGTTTTCAGAATTATACCAGTGTTGTTTCTAACATTAAAATACTGGATAGAGTTAATTCTATTTGTTCTTAGAATGTTCTCAGTTAAAGGAATGGGTTTAAAAGTCATTTGGAAGCCGGGCTTGGTGGCTCAGCCTGTAATCCCGCACTTTGGGAGGCTGAGGTGAGTGGATTGCTTGAGCTCACGGGTTCAAAACCCGCCTGGGCAACTTGGCGAGACCTCATCTCTACAATAAATCAAAAAATCAGGCAGGCATGGTAGCGCGTGCCTGTAATTCCGGCTACTCGGAAGGCTGAGACGGAAGGATCGCTAGAGCCCAGCGGGTCAAGGCAGCAGTGGCCGGGAGCGGCCACTGCACTCCAGTCTGGGCAACAGAGTGAGACTCCAACTCAAAAAAAAGGATATAAAAGCCATTTGGAGCCGTTCATTTTTAAAAATTGTATATAAAATCTGATTAATGTTTCAATTTATTTTCAACTTTAAAGTTTGCGTTTCTTTCAGTTAATTAAGACATTTACAAAATTCAAACATCTAAACTCTATGGAGGACCAGGAGTGGCGGCTCATGCTTGTAATCCTAACATTCTGGGAGGCTGAGGTGGAAGGATTGCTTGAAGTCATTAGTTTGAGACCAGCCTGGGCAACACAGGAAGACTTTGTCTCCACACAAAAATAAATGTAGCTAAGCATGGTGGTACAGGACTGTAGTCCCTAGCTACTTGGGAAGCTGAGGCAGGAGGATCACTTGAACCCAGAAGTTTAAGGCTGCAGTGAGTTGAAATTGCACCACTGCACTCCTGTCTGAGCAACAGAGCAAGACCCTGTCTCAAAACAAAACAAAGAACTATATGGAGAAGGGATGTCAGCAAGGCAAAAGGAAATTCCAGACTTTACTTCATTCCCCCGCATCCCACCAATCCCAGCACACAGAAAGATCAACTAGCAACTATACACAAACAAAAACACTTAGCAGAAATGCCAAAATGTGGAAATAAGCCTAAGTCATCTGTGTTTTCCATGGAACTGAATAAAAATTCACTTTGAAAAAGTAGGAGGAACAGTCTTGCTTTGACCACTTCGCCCCTCCCCCTTTCCCAAGTCAGCATAATGCCACACAGAGAAGACTCCCCAGAGCCCACAGTTTCTACGGTGGATAAGGAGAACCAAGAAAACAAATATCCAGCTTTGCTAGCATTCTGAGACATTTCTCAGGAAGCCCACTCCATTTTCACCTCACAGGGAAAAGAAAATACAAGGGAAAACTGCATGACCAGACCACCTGGGGTCAGGTAGAGATAAAGCAAGGAGGCTGGGCCCACAGAGACCAGCATGAAGATTCTGGTGAAAGCTCAGTGTATATGCCAACAGTGGCACTCAATTAGAGGTACCAGCTAACAACCTAGCTCGCCCACAAAGTCAAGTCAGTTGCTTCTGGTGGAAAGTGCTACTTGGTTCGGATCCCTAGATGACTAGCCTTCAGGCCCAACCTCAGACTTTACCTTGGGGCTCTCACCCAGGAAGTAAGATGAACACCACAACAAATTTCAGAGAGAAGCAAGCACTAGTTCTCCCACACTTGAGAGTTTAATCAGTACTCTTCTCAGCATCAAAGCCAACCCTCAGATCTTATCCAAGGAAGAAGGCAAATTTCAAGTGTACATTTCTACGGAGTGCAGCGGCTGTCCCACCCAACCTGATTTACTTAACCTCAGGGCCACTCCTGCAACTCTGTGATTGCTAATCTCTAAGAGAAACAGCTGGCCAAGCTTGGTGGCTCAGCCTGTAATCCCAGCACTTTGGGAGGCCGAGGTGAGTGAATTGTCTGAGCCCGCGGGTTTGAGACCCACTCGGGCAACTTGGCGAGACCTCGTCTCTGCAATAAATCAAAAACTAGCCGGGTGTGGTAGCATGTGCCTGTAGTTCTGGCTACTTGGAAGGCTGAGGCGGAAGGATCGCCGGAGCCCAGCAGGTCGAAGCTGCGGTGGCTGGAGAGTGCCACTGCTCTCCAGTCTGGGTGACAGAGTGAGATCCCATCTCAAAAAAAAAAAAAAAACCAGTAATAGCTTCAGGCCGGGGAATATATCCTGTGGCCCCATCAGACTAGTGGTGACTATCATGCTTTTACAGAAGCTCAGACTGATAGCAAAGCTCAGCCAGTGATCTTTCTGAATAACAGAGCCTAAACAAGATGCCCCACCCAAACTCAGGGCCAAGACAGCAGCCTAGCCAACTAGACAACCTGGAAGTAAACTCTGCCTGCCAAGGGCTATTACCAGCTGACCCAACCAGAATCACAGGCTGCACTAACTAGTACAAGTCTATCATCCTTGCCAAAGAACTTCTATAAAATCTAATTAAAATGGATGTCTCCACAGATATGCAAATACCAACACAAGGATACAAGCATTACAAAGACTCAGGAAATTCAAAAGAAACTAAAAAATCTTCAGCAATAGATTCTAGAGAAAGGTAGAGTCATAAAATGACAAAAAAATTTTTTTCCACAATGATTTTATTTTAAAAGTTCAGTAAGCACCAAAAATTAAATGAAAATTAAATAAAATTTGGAAAACAATACATAAACAGCATGAGCAGTTTGACTAAGAAATAGAAATAATTAAAAAAATAGAAATCCTGGAGATTAAAAATAAAATGTCTAAAATAAAAAAATGGAATAGAAAGCTTCAACAGCTGGCTTTATTATGCTGAAGAATCAGTGAACTCAAAAGCAAAACATTTGAAATTACCCATTTAGAGGATCAAAAAGAATAAATAAAGAATGAAAAAAATGAAGAATGCCTGTGGGAACTACGAGACACCATCAAGAGACCTAACCTTTGCATACTTGGCTTTCTGGAAAAAGATGAA